TGGGCTTAGGCATTTTCTTCATAGCCTTGCCCCAAAAACCGCCTAGGCGAGTCTTGAAACTAGTTTTTTAAAACACTATCAATATAGGTTTTCAATTTGTACATGATATCCTAACTTTCTGCCCTAAATATTTTGGAAACTTAATCCAGGGCTGGAAAGAAGTCCAAGTCATTGAAAGATTTTTTGGCGTCATCAGGGAGTTCCTCACCTGTCAGGGAGAGAGCGGGTCTGAGTCTATGTGCAGTGAAGTCATTAGTGCTTCGTGAAAAGGATGAAAAGCCATCTGATTTTTGTGATAACGAGAAGGTCCTACCGTTGATTCGGTCTCTATTTGATGCAGGTAGATTCATACGTTAGGTGGCCTCATGACAGTTCCTGTTGGTATTTTCTTATTCCTTTTTTTTTTTTTTTTAATTATCGTGTTATGATCTTTCACCTCTGTTGTAATATTTGCAAGATATTCGCAGAGGGGAATTTTCTGAGAAGGAAGATTGATTCTGGTTCAGAGGCAGTTACTCCAACATCTTTGCCTAGAGTTATTCATGGTGCTCCTCCTGAAAGCCTTGTTGTTAAGTTAGCTGAAGTCATTGGGAGCTTCAGAACCCTCAAGAAAATGACTCTGTTTTGGTGCAGAGTTGTTGTTGAAGTAAGTTCTGTATACAAGAAATATGAGTTCTTTGAGATTTTTCCAATGACTTACAGTGAAAAGAAAAAGAGAAATATGATCTCACGCTTCTTGCTTCCTGTATTGCAATCATAACACGTTATATATTTTCTGGAAGTAAGCTTCTGTTCGAATAAGTGTTTGTGTCTAGGCTTGAGTATTTTGTAATCTTTTTTTTTTTTGAGCAAAATATTTTGTGATCTTGAGTATAAACTTATTATCTTAAATTGAAAAAGAAGAAACTGGGTTCAGTATCAGGTACAATATTATTCTGCTGAGTAGAATTCTAGCCAGAAAGTTTTCCATCCTCTTAAAGTTTATGGCTTTGTTATGCTTATATACTTGCTCTAAATATACATAAAACGCTGTTTTATCATCATTGTTTTGTTGATTTGAATTTCCTTCCCATGCAGCTGAGAAGACTTTGGTCTGAAGAACAATATGTGCCTAGCATCCCCTTGGATGAGATTCCAGATCTGAATTCCTGTCTTTTGTATCAGCGGTTGCAAGTGATGAACTGTTGTGTTTCTAGGAAAAGGCGTCATGATATCGCCACTGAAAAATTAGACCTTGTAATAAGGGAAGCTAGTCCACATGCAGAAGAATCCGCTCTTTCCAAAGACAATCCTGCAGGCCCTATTTATGCTAGATTAAGCATGGGGGAACTTGTCCTCCGACTAGGTGCTAGTAGCCCATCCGGCGACCTAACAATGTTGGAAACTGGTGAACCTGTGTACTCCCCTGTGACCCAGGTATGTTTTAATAGCTGTCCTTCAAGGACTACTATTTTAACTTGCATCCATAAAATGAGATATATCATGTATACGCATTATTACATATAGGAAGGACCTTTGCTTACTGAAGATCTTATCAAGGAAAATGAGGAGTTTGTGCTTCGAACAGGAAGGTCTGTATTTGAGTTAATTCTTAGTCATTTTTTGAATTTCAAGGAACATTCGTATTTTGCTTAAAGCGAGTCTATTTTTCCTAGTTCTCTGAACACATACATATACATCACAGTGAACATGCATATTTTTATTCTTATTAATCTAGATATTTTTTTGACAATTTGCCTTATCTTTTATGGTCAGTGTTGGTGCTGGATGTTCTCAACTCCTCTCTGACATGCAGGCTTTCAAGGTCAACACTAATGAAAGTCTTATAGAAGCACTCCTATCTATAATTTTGCTATTTACTTAAATATTAAATATAAATAATTTTACTGGAATATTGGAGGAATCCCTTGGATGGGTAGTAAGTACAATTTTGAATGTTTTGCTTATGTACAAAGAATGCTATGTGTTGACTTCTATGGTTAACTAAGTTCTGCTAATTATCATATATAGGCTGCAAATCCTGGTTGTATTTTGGAAGACTTTGTGAGATGGCACTCTCCTCCTGACTGGACCGAGGCTGAGCCAAGTGATGAGGAAAATGACTCTTTTGTTGGTAGTGACGTATTGTCCACAAGAGGCTATCTCAGTAGCCGAATGCAAAAAGAAGGTGCCACCTCTTCCTGTCTTTCCATTTCTATATAGTTTATGTCACATAACAGCTTTGTATATCCAAGTTAACAGTTATAAGAGGATATAGAAAGCATAAAACAGACAAAATTACTTTGCTTAAAATAATACTTTAGTTTAGTGCACCTTGTCTGTCAGGTATTTTACTGTTAAAACTCTTGCTCTTAGTATATATGGGGAAATTGCTTAGGTGACCAATCTATCATAGTATTGCAATAGATGGGATATATAATATTCTCTAGCGAAAATTAGATGTATAATTGGACAATGAGCTTGGGCGCTCTGTGCTTTATTGCAATCGCATGGGTGACTTGAGTTGCTTTGTGTATTTAAAAGGTTTTTTTTTGCATGTTTTAACAAACAGTAACCAACTATCATAACCTGGGCTTTTGTGAATATAAGATCATTCTGGTAGCAGCCTCTCCATAAATGGGGGTAAGGCTAGCTGACATTCACCTCTCCCAGACCCTGCATAAAGCGGGAGCCTTGTGCACTGGGTACGACCTTTTAATGAAATATAAGTTCACAGGTTCGAGTCATGGAAACAACCTCTTTGCAAAGCAAGGGTAAGGCTGCGTAAGATAGACTTCCCCCACTCTCACAAAGCAGGGAGCCTTGTTTGCGCCCTTATTTTATCTTTTTTAGGACCAACCACTGAAATAAAATAGCTGGTGTATTGTGTATAGCAATGTTGTATAGCATTTGTTCTAGAAAATGAGTGCTTATTCAGGCATCTAGAAGTTGCTACCACCACATATTTAAATCTGATATGGAATTTCATAGGGTTATGCTTTGATGTTAGGAAATTTGTGGCGTGAGTTTTGGGATACATCCAAACCAGTTCCAGCAGTTAAACAAGCACCCCTCTTTGATGAGGATTTAGCAGTGTAAGTAGGAAGAACTAATGCTCAATTTATCACTTCTGTTTTTGGTTTTAGCAAAGACTTCTGTCTAACATCACATTAATAGCATTGCGTTAATCCTGTAGGGAAGGTATCTTGGATGGTTTAGAGGACATATCACCTTCCGATCTTTTTCAGCAGCTGTTTGTTTCTTTGGTAAGATCATTTTTTATGTTTCTCATGCTTGGTTGTTTTGAATATCACCTAATAGGTGGTACATTACCACTGCTCCTATACTGTTCTAATAATGCCCGTTCTGCAACATTCAGCTTGGTTTAGGATTTGTAATTGCTGAGGCTAAACTGTCCACGAGCAGTGATTTTTCGAAGCTGTTTTATGAATGCAAGGAATATGTTGTTTCCTCTTGTCAAAGCAACACCTGGACTGAGAAGGTTGAAGAGCTTTGCCAGGTAAGATGGATCCATATTTGCTAAACCAACGGTTGATTGTTACAATTTTATGTCAAACTTCTGTGATTAAGGTAGTCATGGATGCCCAATCAGAGATATCTGTCGAAGGTGTTATTCACTCGAAGAATGGATGCTTTAAAATATAGAAAGTTAATTAGTAAGCTTTGTTCATGAAATATTATCAGGCAATGAAATTTGTTGATACCCGAATTTGAGTTTGATATTTACTTAGACAACGCTTGGTACAGGTATATGAAACAGTGGAGACTATGTTACTCAATCCAGAGGAAGCATTAAGAGCAATGAATCAGCCAGATGAATCGACAACCCCTTCTGGCGAACCAAAACGGCGGTTTAGGAGGCTTACCCTCAACTTTGGTGGCAAAGACAAGCAGTTGAGAAAAACAGCATCAAAGGACCAGAAAAACTCAACGAGCCCCAGTAGCCAACCGTTTTCGAGTTTCTTCGACAACAAGTCATCATTATTTTCCAAATGAAAATACATCTCCTGTTGAAAAACCTTCGTGTACAGTTGAAAATGATTGGACAGTGGTTTAAATATTATTTTTTGTTCCTTTGTGTTTTTTTTTATTTTTTTTATTTTTAAAACAGGCTTAATTTTGCTGGTAATTGTAAATTGTTTTGAGCAAAACGAGGTAATGGGGGTTACCATTATCCACAATTTAAATGAATTTATTGCCTTGAATTGAAGAAATTGAATTTCTTTCTTGATGAATGGAAAAAAAATGAATTAGTCGTGTTTTTATTTTGTTCTACATGGTCATCTTTTGCCCTTTTTTTTCGTTTATTTTTATCTTGAAATTGGTAATGTCCAACAGAACTCATGCTTTTTATCCCATCAAACAACGTTATATTGTAGCCTATTTTATTTGAGGGAGAGAGAAGGTGTGATTCTCTATATACTAGTGCCTTTATTTATAGTAAATTAAGAGAAAATGAATAACTTGTACTCTAAGTAAATACAATCTTAATTGGAAAAAATCACTGGTTAATTTGGAAACATCGGCAATGATGGTCTTTTCTATTCAGTTTCTTTTTTATACAAGCATGCAATATACGTCTTTTCTATTCAGTTTCTTTTTTATACAAGCATGCAATATACTATTTTAAACTAATCTAAGTTGTAGAAAGGATGTTCAAACTCAAATTCATAGCGGAGCACATCCCCTCTTAGCCAATAGGCACATCAACATAGGGATATTAATCAATATAGCGACAAATCCAATTAGAATAAGATGAGCACTAATCCAAAACCAAATAGTAATGATCAATTTTGTTACGGGACGTGCTAAGCCTTAACGTATGCCGAAACCTGAGGCAAATACGTGTACTTGTATTTGTTGACATATATGGTGACTTGGTTTGGTTTGGTTTTGGGGCTTGGACACAGATGGCCCTAAGTTTGTGACTGCAAGTAAGTGGTCGATTGAGAAGCTGGATAAGACGAGAGTAAAATAATTCATAAACAAGATAAAATCCAAACACATAAGAAAAGTAAATTGCCTACCAAAAAGCCGGGATATCCTGTGGGAAAAAAAATAAATTGTCTTGCTTTGTTACAGAAGACGTTTACAACCCAGAAGACCGAAATACAAACAAATAGGCTGCCTCCAAACTCCAACTAGATCCTCACTCAAAAGACATGAGACACAAAACTGGCAGTACAATCTTTGAGATTTATAGTTCGTCGGACAACGTAAACCATAACAATAGGCTGGGTACCTTGGTTTTTTGGGTTTTTGTATTAACAAAAACAACAAATTGTCTTTCTACGATAATCAAAACGGTGGTGATATGCAGTATGCAGTGCACACCCCCATTACCTTGCACACACCCTTTTCAATTTCCAGACGTTGGATCAAATGAATTGAAGAAGATGAATGAACAAAATTAACAAGGGTGTGCAGAAAGTAAAAAAAGGGTGTGAATAGCACATGCTTAGCTATCAAAATCTTTGAAACTTGGTCTCCTTTAGAAAGTTTCTTCTTTGCGCCGCAAGCTTTGTGAAGAACCGACAGCCGACCGAACAAGCAGAAGAGCATTGCAACCATGTCTTTTACAAGTCAAATGAAGAAATAAGCGGTAGCTCTCACTGGACTGTTTTTAGCCTAGCACCAGTATCTTCATGCTCCACCTGATAAAATAAGGAATAGATTCAGATTGGGGGAAAGAGTCGTGCACATCAGTCATCACAACAGACGTGGATACAGGGGACATAGCAAGTTATTTATAGTGACTTTCCCATTTTAACAAAAAAAGCTATTATTTGTACGAAGGGCGCTGCTCTACTGACCAATTACTGACAAACCTTAGTTTTAACATATGAAAAAATCTAAATCCAACCCGGGATCATTTAGTATATCCCCATAATAGGAAATAGGCTTTGTTTTACGGTCTTAGGTGGCAGTGCTTCTAGTTTTACTTCAAGTGATATTATCAATAATTTCAACTAATGAGCGACACGACTATACTGAAACCAACTACAGAGCTCCAGTAAATTTGCACCTCTTCAAAATAGTGGCTTATAAGCTATTAAAAATATAATCACCCATTTTCTGATCTCATAATCACTGAAATGATTAAAGTTATATTAGAGCATAATTAACAATGTAGTGAGACTGCAGGAATTTACAATGTAACTAGAATTACCTCAACAAGCACCCTCGGCTTTTTCTTCGATTTGACAGCAGGTTCATCCTTCTCAAACTTTCTAGAAGTAAAGGCAGATTCCTTTCGCCCTCTCTTGCGAGCAACTACTTCTGCCTCTTCATCGATTCCAACTGCACATTAAGATCCATTCTTGAGTCCATTGATACACGCAAACTTTTCTTCACCAGTTAGAAGTTAGAAGAATGCCTGGTGAGCTTTTTTTCCTTTAAAATCACGAGTACAAACATAGAGTATGAATACTAGACTTATGAAATGATACTAGAGTATGCATGCACCCATTTCATATGTTAAGATACTAGAATATGGCTGTACCATTATCTTCATCTGCATGTGAATTGTCCATTGCAAGACCAGCAAAATCTTCTATATCATCTTCCTCTTCAAGTTCATCATAGCCTTCAACATATTCAATCTCAGGTTCCTGCTTATTCCAACCACAAAAGTATTTACTTTGTGAGAAAATGTATTTTCAAATAAACCTAAAATTAAATATTTTAGATTTCTATACAGCTAATTGAGATACTTGCAAAAACAGGGAAATGATAAGATTGTACAAGAATACCTCCTCCTCCTCCTCCTCTTCTTCTTCTCTTTCAGTCTCCACCTCTGCCCCATCAAGAACTTTTTGGTATTGTTTAAATGGATAGTTGTATATATCACCATAAACATTTTTGTTAAGGCGTTCTAATAGTTCTTTCTCAATGCTCTGCAAAAGAATAGTAAGTCATTTTGAGATCTAGGATGCATAACCGATAACTCCGGTGGATTTATAGCGTATGGCAGCAGCATAAGTTATAACCTGGTCCAACAGTGCAGCTTTTTCAGCCTTTTCCTCTCTTCTAGCCTCTCTCTTTATCTGTTTCCTTGGTGTTGTCATTATTTTCTCCCTGATAAAAACAGGATAAATTGTCATGATACAACAGCTCAACATAGCTTCCTTGATATGGACATTAGGAAAGTAATGAAACCGTTATCTGAAGCCACTTTCCAGACAACTTTTTTAAAGAACAATAAATATGAGAGAAGTGAACAATCACCGCACAGAAAAAAAAAAAAAAAAAAAAAAAAAAAAAAGTGATACAGATTTAGAAGATACCAACCTTGTTTTCAAAGCAAGCTTCCTCATGCGTATCCGCATCTGAGTCATTTTAGTTAGCCGTTGCTTTGTTTTGTGCACGAGAAACTTAGGCCAATACATCTGCCAACTCAGAAAGGTAAATGTGATTAACGACTTCTAGAAAGCTAATAACATATACAAGTGAGGTAATAAACTGTTAAAAGAGGGTTCAGGGTTTTCAAATACCAGATTCTTGTCAATGATTTCAAGTGCTTTCTCATAATTCCGCGGCAACTTCACTCTTTCCCATAATTTATTCGGCATATGAGCTCTCTCGATAGTTTTCATATAAAGATAGAAGACTCCTGCAGGAACCAAACATAACATATACAAGTAATTATAAATTTCCGCCAGCGTAGGGGCGAATTTGTTGACATGAACATAACGAGAAATTTGGAAAATCGGCTAAAACGATCAGAAATCAAATCCCAATTGCAGAACTAACCAAAATTAAATCAAATATTAACGACATATCGATCAAGCGCAGCAATTGCTTGAAAAAATAGGCAAAAAAGTACCGTCATGGTCGCGAATCGTGGAGTATCGACTATTAGCGAGAGGGCAGGAGCTCCGGTTACAAATCCCGGTAACGTTATAGGGGTTTCTACAGAAAATCCCAGTTTCAATTCTGCCAAAAGAAACGAAAAAATTAAGAAATAATACAAAAACGTAAGTAAAAATGCTCAAAATTTAAAGGAAAAAAAAAAAGGAAGAAAAAGGCACATACTTTGACATGTAGCTGCAATGCTTGTGGCGAATAACCTGCCATATCACCTCGTCGTGCTGCATCTTTAATCGATTTTGTTGGTTGCAGAGGAGGAGGTCAGGGACTCAGGGGACGGAAGGAAGGGGAAAAGGGGGAGCTCAGCTGGTTAGGGTTTTAGGTCCCTGACAGAGCAAGAGAGAGATTGAATGAAGAAATGGGGTTTAGTATTTGGGCTGTTGGGCTTAGAGAATTAGGGAAAACATTTGGGTTTTGAGTTGGGCCCAGCAGAATTGCGGGGTAAATGGCTGTTGGGCTTCTGGAATCAAGGCCGACCATTGAAAATTAATTAATTAATTAACATATTTGGTCGGTTTGGTCTGAACCAGATTTTTTAAATCTAACACCATGAACCGAGCAGTTCGGTTCGATTGCTGGTCCGGGTTTGACCGGTTTATTGATTTTTTTTTTGAGAACTTTAACGAAAAGCACCCGGTACTGTTCACTTTAACGAAAAACCATATTTTTACACTAAAAAGTCAATCCTGGTACTATTCACTTTACCCTTTATTTTGTCCTTATCATTAAAACTCAAAGTTTTCAAGCCCTTTTCATTAGTTTTTTTTTTTTTTTTTGCCTTCACACCTCTAGTTTTAGTATAAAGGTGCTCATGGTACAAAAGGATTGGAAAACTAGGTATGTTGAAGGCAGCCAATTCTTCCTAAACAAATGAAGTCTTATACCATTTTCAAAGGAAATGTAAAAAATACCACATAGATATATAATAGTAACAAATGACGTATCATTTATTCTAACCAAGATGTCAAAGATGACATGGAAAAGAAAACTAAGATGGACAAAGAGATGTCAAATTTGAAGCTGTCTTCAAATTTGATTTTTGTTATTTCCAAAGGCATTCTATTTGTCTTACCTTAAATGCTAGCATATTTAAGTATTATTTTATTATTTTTAAATGGGTTATTGTACAAAATAATCCCTGAGATTTGCATGATCAATAGAAATGGTTCCTAAGATTTAAAAACAATAGAAATGGTCCCTGAGATTGTCTACCATCCATGATTTTGGTCATTCCGTTAAAAACTCTTTGGGCAATTTTCAAAACTTTGTAACTTAATCGTTTCTTAACCAAATTAGACCCATAATATATCAAAATAAAGATATGAAAGTGTAGAATAAGATTATACCTATTTGGAAGCCCAATGGTTGCCGAAGATGGCCAGAAAATAATCTAAAAGGTGACTGTTTCGCGGAAAAATTGGAAAACTCGCCGGAAACTGGGTAAACTTTAAACGTTCATAACTTCTTCAATACTCAACCAAATTGAGTGATTCAAAAACAAAAATCATACTTCTTGACGAGATGAAGAGCATGGTACCTTTTTCGAAGGCTAACTCGGCGTGGTTTGGTCGGACAATGGTTCGAAAGTGGCTAACCATTTTCGAGTTAGCCACTTTCGAGCAGTTTTCTGGCCAAACCACGGCGAGTTAGCAATCAAAAAAGATACCATTATATTTTTTCATTGAGAAGTATGATTTTTGTTTTTGAATCACTTGATTTGGTTGAGTTTTGAAGAAATTATGAACGTTTAAAGTTTACCTAGTTTCTAGCGAGTTTTCCAGTTTTCCCGCGGACCAATCACATTTTAGGCTATTTTCTGGCCATCTCTAGCAATCATTTGGCTTCTAAATAGGTATAATCTTGTTCTACACTTTCTTATCTTCATTTTGATATATTATGGGTCGAATTTGGTTAAGAATCAATTGAGTTACGAAGCTTTGAAAATTGCCCAAAGAGTTTTTAACGGAAGGATCAAAATCATGGATGGTGGACAATCTCAGTGACTATTTCTATTGATTTTAAATCTCAGGGACCATTTATATTGATCATGCAAATCTCAGGGACCATTTTGTATAATAACCCTTTTTAAATCAACAACAACTCAACTTTTATTATTTTTGTTTAGAAAAAACATAAATGAAGCAATAAATTTTGGCATATCGGGTGGAATGAAAATATTGACAATATGTCAAATTGCCAAGTCAACCATTAAATTGAAATTTGATGTTTTGAATTTGATGCCTCATTTGGAGTGCTCTTATAGTATTCATTCATTAAAAGCATTTTCGTAAGAGTCTACAAATGTTTATTTTGTTAAATTTGAAGTGTTACTTAGAATTTATTTGTTCCAACAAAGTTGACAAACTCACTCATCAAATTTATGACATTGCTTCACTCACTATATTTGGAGACTTGTTATCTCACTGTTCAACAATTCTTCTTATTATAATAATGTGTTTTGTCCATTTTTCCCATTCACCACAAAAAAATTGTAGGACCAACTTGTCCCTCCTCAGAATAAATTAAACAGGAATGTTAGCTACATTTCCTTCTTGATATCAAATCTTCTGCACCCAAAATATGTGTTACCTCTCTGTATCCTCAATCATTGCAAATTAAGTTTAGGAAAATAAAGTTAAGAAAATTAAGTTTATAAATACGTGTTAGTCAATGATTGGGACCATAAAGAGGTCACATCCATTCTGAGTGCAGAATATTTGATCCCTCCCTTCTTACCTTCTCTAATTTACTTTTCTCGTTCATTGTTTGCATGTGGATTCCAATATCACTTCAAACTAGACAATTGGTGTGTTTAAAATTCTTCCTCGGAGCAAGAAGTTGTTCAAATCCTTTCCTCAATATAAAACATCTCTCCATTAATTGAATCCTTATACAAAAAATGCTTCTTTCTCAGGCCTGAATCGTTTAATCACATGTTAGTTGCGGCCGCCGTCGAAAGCAACGACCTTTGCTTCTACAGGTCGCAGTTGCATGGTATTAATCTTTAAACTCTGCGTGTCTTGTCACTATTGCCAAGGCTTTCACAATATTGGATGATTGCACGGAGTTGGTCAAGATTAACCAAGCACGTAATGGAAGCTTGTCTCTTATCTTTGCTCTCAACAAATGTAGCGAGACTGAAGAGTTTTCTAGTTTTTTCCCATATGAAAACTCTCGATTTCGTGCCCGATTTGTACACCCACAACACTATTTTAGACATTGTGGGGTGCGACGGGGTGTGCTATGACTCTGCCACAAGTTGTAGTGAGGGACAATGGGGTGCACTATGGCTTTGCCACAAGATAAAATTTAAAAATCCTTGAAAAAATAAGAATTAAAAAAAGGTTATAATTGAATGAGCGGTATCCGGTATGTGTGAAAAGGAACTAAGAGAGTTTTACACATTAATTGTCTAGTTTGAAGTGATAATGAAATCTATATGGCAAACAATGAACGAGGGGAGTATGGCTAATTTGTATGGGAAATGATTTCCAAATTTTTCTCTTCCTGAGAGTCTTTTCCACCGTTAGTGTGAGTGGTTTCTCCTCCGTCTAATTTCGTCGCCTCCATTCCTCTCTGTGGTGGTGACCAGTGGCAGATCTATCATTTTTACCTATGTTTCCTCCTTTCGTTCATTTTGCTATCACGTCTCAAATGAAACTAACTTTTTTCCTAGTCAACTTTGTAAGGAATAAGGGTATGGTGGAAAAAAAAATTACCATAGACCGTCAATGGTAATCGACAAGACCAAGGATACCTCGTATTTCGCAAAACCTTGTGGGGTTTCCAATTTTCTACAACTACAACTTCTTTGGGAATTGACAAAAATATCATGTACTGAGATCACGTCTCCCAAAAAGGCATATGATCTAAATAGGACTAGCATTTGGGGAATTTAGTGTAAAGCTGATTCTCATTAAAATTGCTCGGATTAAATTATCCATGTTTAGAAAGTTGGACTTTATCATTGGAGTAAACAATGATGTTGTTGATTAGGTTTTCACGAATCTGTCAGGATATAGGCGGAATGCCCAATCTGTCAGGTTCATGAATGATATTGGAGCATTTGTCAACCCACATGACATTACAAGGAACTCATAATGAACATGTTGAGTCCTTAACACAATCTTAGGAACATCATCATTTCTGATCTTCAGCTAGTCGCAACCAAACTTCAGATCTTGAAGAAAGCTCGGGTTCTAAAGAGTTGGTCAGAGAGATCATTAATTCCAGATATGATTTAACGGTTTTATAATTGTCACCCATTTGAATTGCTTGTAAACAATGTACAATCTTACGATTCGGTCGTTCCTCTTCATGAATAGAAGTAAAGGTTTCAACGGTGAAGTTTCAAGGAAAATAGGTGTTATACTTGGATGTAGATCAACGGTGCCACACACATCTCAATCTAGTGGTATCACAAGTAGATATTTAGGAATGGCGTCATGAGTTTAATTTGACTAGATTCACAATTTCCAACTGTACCGCATTGTCTTCTTCCTCTACAACACATGCTAATAAGCCTTCACAACTTTATCTTAATAACGGTTTTCACCTTTATATCAGGAATTAATTTGTGCTTCAATTTCTGAGGTTTGCCTGTGGAGGTGACCACATGGATGACAGGTCGTCGAAAAAATAACCACTTTTGGTCGATGCTCCACCAAAGGAATAATAATGATGTAGTCAATCCGTCTCTTGGATTACATGGAAATCCATGATATCCAGTGAAATAAGATGAACTGGCATTATTTGATTGGTAATGGAAAAAAGTGCAACCATTGCACTTACACAGGACGTTATAGACTTGCCTCGTGACATTGGGATTCTCGAGACGTACTCGACTGAGGTACCATGTGATTGAAGTATTTGAACAAACAAGGGTAATATGACTGATTTGTGCTTTATGTTGTTGATATGACTACGGGTTTGTTGTTCTCCTATATGGCTTGCTCCTAAGTTTCCACAATTGTGGTTCCACTGGCCCTACTTGTTTCGATACGTGTATGTAGGTTGTGCCGCTACCAAACGTTTCTATGGTATTCTAGTAATGTCTGCCTCCATGGAACTGTAAACCGGTGTCCTGGAAATGAGGTATGATAACCATATACTGCATTGTATTTTCAATATAAAGAAATCATACTGCATGGGTATTGTTTCACAACTCTCAGATACATGACAGTCTTGACCTGGTGGCAATTCTTCTTGATTTACTCTGTTCTTCAAACCTCATGGGCGTCCATCTTCCTCAACCACTTTTGATTCGGTCTACAGTCAATTTTAAATGCAATTTGTTGCGATCATTCGAGAGGGTGTGTAGAGTTCCAATGGTCATGTTGACTCGGGTGTTT